GAGGCCTTACAAATAGCAGAGAAGAGAAGGGGAAAAATGCAAGGGAGACAGGGAAATGGCTGTTGTGGGTTTTTCGGGCTCTTTGGCCATGTTCTGAAGGTTGTTCTTCCTAATGTGTCACCAGTCTCTGTGGCTGGCATCTTCAGAGGACAGCACTCTGAAGTCCTCTGCATATGCTGGCCACAGAGACTGGCGAAACATTAGGAAGAACAACCTTCTGAACACGGCCAAAGAGCCCGAAAAACCCACAACAGCCATTTCCCTGTCTCCCTTGCATTTTTCCCCTTCTCTTCTCTGCTATTTGTAAGGCCTCTTGGACAGCCACTTTGCTTTCTTGTATTTCCTTTTTTGGGGATGGTTCTTGCTGCTGCCTCCTGTACAATGTTACGAGCCTCCATCTATAGTTCTTCCAGCACTCTGTCCACCAAATCGAGTTCCTTAAATCTGTTCTTCACTTCCACTGTGTATTCATAAGGGATTTGGTTTAGTTTATACCTGACTAGCCCAGTGGGTTTTCCTACTTTCTTCGGTTTAAGCTTGAATTTGGCTATAAGAAGCTGGTGATCAGAGCCACAATCAGCTCCAGTTCTTGTTTTTGCTGACTGTATAGAGCTTCTCCATTTTTGGCTGCAGAGAACATAATCAATTTTGTTATTGCCCATCTTGTGATGTCCACGTGTAGAGTCACCTCTTATGTTGTTGGAAAAGAATGTTTGTGATTACCAGCTTGTTCTCTTGACAAAACTCTATTAGCCTTTGCCTTGCTTCATTTTGAACTCCAAGGCCAAACTTTCCTGTTGTTCCTTATATCTCTTGATTCCCTACTTTAGCATTCCAATCCGCTAGAATGAAAAGAACATCTTTCTTTGGTGTCAGTTCTAGAAGGTGTTGTAAGTCTTTATAGAATTGTTCAATTTCAGCCTCTTCAGCATTGATGATTGGTGCATAAACTTGGATTACGGTGATGTTGTACAGTCTGCCTTGGATTCGTATTGAAATCATTCTATCTTTTTTGAGATTGTGTCCCAGTACAGCTTTTCCCATTCTTTTGTTGACTATGAGGGCTACTGCATTTCTTCTATGCACTTCTTGATACTATTATAATAGTAATATGGTAATCATCTGAATTGAATTCGCCCATTCCCGTTCATTTTAGTTCACTAATGCCCAGGATGCAATATTTATTCTTGCCATCTTATGTTTGGCCTCATCCAACTTACCAAGGTTCATAGATCTTACATTCCAGGTTCTTATGCATTATTTTTCTTTGCAGCATCAGACTTTGTTTTCACTTCCAGGTGCGTTTGCAGCTGAGCATCCTTTCGGCCTTGGCCCAACCACTTCATTAGTACTGGAGCTACTTGTACTTGTCCTCCACTCTTTCTCAGTAGCATGTTGGACGCCTTCCAACCTGAGGGGCTTAACTTCCAGCATCATACCTTTTAGCCTTTTGTTTCTGTTCATGGGCAAAGTTACTGGAGTGGCTTGCCAGTTCCTGCTCAAGGTGGGTCGCATTTAGTCAGAACTCTTCACTATGACCTGTCCGTCTTGGGTTTCCCTGCATGGCATAGCCCATAGTTTCTCTGAATTACTCAAGCCCTTTCGCCACAACAAGACAGCAATCCGTGAAGGGAGAATAATATCCCAGTATGAAAGGTTGACTTGCATGCACAAATAGGAAAACAAAAGCTAAAGATCACAGACCAAATGAAGAAATAAACAGAAGAGATATTGATCTTGAATGTTACTAAATCTAGAAGAATAGCATTCTGAATCCACACACACACACAAGTATATACTCATAACTGCACTGGTAGTGAGCAGAGCAGGTTAAAACTGTTGCTCTAAGTTGAATAGTAATGTTATGCTGGAGTAGATATATCATGTAGGATACTTATCATCTCAACAGGATGATTAGAAAGGATAAAAAAATGATTTCCGAGTCAATTATGGATTATGGATTGTGAATTATGGATTTTGAATTAGTTGTGAATTATAAATCCTGAGAATCTTATCTTGTCCCTACTTTACTTCAGGTGGACATTTCTGTTATCCAATAGGAATATCTGTTAGCCATCACCATCTTTTAAGTTACCTGGGCCAACTGTAGAAACAGTTACACCTGGACTCTGTGTAGTTCCTACATGAAAGAGAAAGGTTATAAAGGATAGATTCAGGATTTATGAATATCAGAGTAGAAGAAGATGGAAAGATGTATCAGCTTTCAAAGCCGTTGACATATCCTTCTGGGCTAGAAAATTCCTTCAAAAAGTATCATCAGGAAGTCACTTAAACTTAATGAAACATAAAATTGGTTGTGCTGAGTCATAAATAGCAACAAAGTCTAGTGATGGGAAATACTTTTATAGGGACTAGCCACAATGCCACAGAACTGTCCAAGCTTTGCCCAGATAAATGGGAAGATAATATCCCAGTACAAATAGGGATTGACTTGCATGTACAAATCAGAAAGCAAAAGCTAAGGATCACACACCAAATGAAGAAATAAACAGAAGAGATAGTGGTCTTGAATGTTACTAAATCTAGAAAAATAACATTCTGAATTCACACACATACACATATATAATTGCACTGGTAGTGAGCAGAGCAGGTTAAAACTGTTGCTCAAATTTGTATAATAATGTTATACTGGAGTAGATGCAGTGGCGTAATAGGCAGTGACAAATTGCTGCTAGTAAAAAAAAAATCACTGCTTGCATTCTTGGTTACTTACCAGCTGTGTGAATTATGTGCCAAGAGAGACATATGCAATAACTCATTTCACACCACTGAATTTACACTGGTTTAAATAATTTAGATTTCCAGTATGGTGTCGTGGATAGAGTGAGGGATTAGGACTCCAGAAAATAGGGTTTGATTTGACACTTGATCTTATAAATGTATTGGGGAAATGGAACTGATAAAACCACTCTTTAATATCTCACTTACCTTGAAAGTTCTATTACAGATTGGTGGTTCTGGCTTGATGGCATAGAACACACACACAAATAACCTAGAATATTCTGGCCACTGCAGGATAATTAATGTACAGTAAGAAATCCTCAGTAACCAGAAACTCAAGACCCACGCAGTCAGCTCCCAATGTAAATGTGAGTTTCCACTTTCTGTTTCCCAAATGGATATTTACATCACTTCTCACTCAAATGAAAAGAAATCATCAAACACAGCTTTCAACATAATGCACTGGCTACACTTTTTGTGTACATGACTAAATGTCAGTCAAAGGAGAGAGAAAGGAAGGATGCAAATTTACAGAATACAAGTGTACCTGTACTCCACTGGGAACATGACAACCAAACCATGGTTATATGTCCAGCTCAGTATTATATGCAGACAATACAATATTACAATACAATATTATATGCATTACACAAAAATGTCTAGATAAACATTGATATTCAGAAAACCAACCACTCCTGCCAGCTTCAACTTCTTTCACTGCAGTTTTTAAAGAGCATGAGAGAAGCAAGGAGGAGTTCTTGTTTGTAGTATGACAAACAAGAAATAAGTATCTACAATATCTACTGTGATTTTCCTTCCCGCCCCCGGAAAACAAGAAAAGGAAAAGGAGCCTATAGAAATTCTTACAGGGCAGAACACCAGACATATATCATGTAGGATACTTAGCATCTCCACAGGATGATTAGAAAGGATGAAAAAATGATTCCTGAGTCAATTATGAGTTATGGATTGTGAATTATGAATTTTGAAATATGAATTATGGATTTTGAATTGTCAATTGTGAACTATGAATCCTGAGAATCTTGTCACTACTTTACTTCAGGTGGACATTTCTGTTGTCCAATAGGAATATCTGTTAGCCATCACCATCTTTTAAGTTACCTGGGCCAACTGTAGAAACAGTTACACCTGGACTCTGTGTAGTTCCTATATGAAAGAGAAAGGTTATAAAGGATAGATTCAGGATTTATGAATATCAGAGTAGAAGAAGATGGAAAGATGTATAAGCTTTCAAAGCCGTTGACATATCCTTCTGGGCTAGAAAATTCCTTCAAAAAGTATCATCAGGAAGTCACTTAAACTTAATGAAACAAACTTGGTTGTGCTATGTCATAAATAGCAGCAAAGTCTAGTGATGGGAAATACTTTTAAAGGGACTAGCCACAATGCCACAGAACTGTCCAAGCTTTGCCCAGATAAATGGGAGAATAATATCCCAGTACAAATAGGGATTGATTTGCATGTACAAACCAGAAAGCAAAAGCTAAGGATCACACACCAAATGAAGAAATAAACAGAAGAGATAGTGGTCTTGAATGTTACTAAATCTAGAAAAATAACATTCTGACACACACACACACACACACACACACACACACACACACACACTTGCACTGGTAGTGAGCAGAGCAGGTTAAAACTGATGCTCGGATTTGAATAGTAATGTTATGCTGGATAGATGCAGTGGCATAAAAGGCAGTGACAAATTGCTGCTATTAAAAAAAATCACTGCTTGCATCCTTGGTTACTTACCTGCTCTGTGAATTATGTGCCAAGATATGCAATAACTCATTTAATACCACTGAATTTACAATGGTTTAAATAATTTTGATTTCCAGTAGTGGATTATGAATTATGAGTCATAGAAATCTTCCCCTGTTACTACTTTAGGGGAGATGTTTTCATTATCCAATTAAGGATATCTGTTTGCCAACACCATCTTTTATTTTACCTGAGTGAACTGTAGAAACAGGTATACCTGGACTCGGTGTAGTTCCTATATGAAAGAGAAAGGTTATAAAACATAGATTCAGAATGAAATGTTAGTCAAAGCAGAAAGGAAGGAATGAGGAAATTTACAGAAGACAGGTGTAGCTGCGTATTTCCCCTCTCTGTTTTAAAAACAGAGCCTTCCTAATAATCCATAAATTTTGTGACTCACTTGAAGTTTCATTTCTTCCTGGAGGAAGAGGGACAGTTGTGGTACTAGGCTCTGGAAAAGAATATATTTGGCTAAAGGTTCTGAAGAAACCCAGTGTTCTGTATGAAAATTTTGAAATGGATGACTACAGTAAAACACTTACCCTTGACACATTTTGGATCAGGATGCCACGAACTGTTGGCCACACATTCAATGAATTCACTCTCCATAACAGTATAGCCAGGATTGCATACATATTGCAACTTATGGCCATATGGGTATGAAGCCTGAAATCCACTAGTCAGCTTTCCATTTTCGATCTCCGGTCTGCTACACTGTACCACTAGAAAGAGATAATAAGCAGCGTTGGAACCAAACCAGCATCTGGAGCTGAAAGCCTAAAATTACCTACAACCCTAATAGAATATAACAAGTGATTCCTGCCTTTGAAGAAACTGCATGATTGAGACAGAGATGCAAAACTGATCTGATGGCTTGCAGCATCAAACAGCACAGGGATGCAAGGGAAGCTGTACTTCCACAAATTTTATGTCTGAAAGTCCACAACTGCCTCTACCAGGCTTTAGAGACTCAGGATGTGATGGCACAGTTGGGAAAATACAGTTTGATCCACTATGATTTGCAGTTTATCAGACCAGGTTTCCCTGGGTGAAACTGCTGTACTTGTCCAGGTGACAATTTGCAGGTGTCAGCAGGGGCAGAGATAGGCAGCTTGCACAGAGCTCCAACAACAGAAGCTGCCTTAACAAGGTGCTAACACATGACAATTGACATTTTCCACATCTCTTCATCTCTCTTTTATGTTACTGCTCAGCAGAGCAAATCAATACTCTATTAAGGCAATTCTAAAAATGGGGGAGTCCAAACAAAAAATTATAATTTTGAAACTGGACTTCAGATCAGCACCAAATTTGGCGCAGGTGTAGTAGACTGTCTGCTCTTGCTCTGTGCCAAATTTGGGGAGTTTAGGCAAAAGGTTTTTTTAAGCAAAACTGTATTCCCCCACCCATTCAGAAATAGGGACCCTAAACGTCACCAGATTTTTTAAAAAAACTCACATACATTGAAAAGACCAATCTTGCTTATCTTGAAAGAGATAAGCATTGGTCCCACCTGAATTTGGAAAGAAACTTTGTTATAGGCTTTGTTATAAACCTGAACATGTATGGTACAGGCTTGCCAGGCAGATGATACAATAGATCATTAGGGTGAAGAAGAATTACAGGTCAACAAAAGTCCACAACTATTATGGAAGGAGTCAAAAATCAGAGTTTGTTTCGAAGAAAGTAATGGAGTCGGAGTCCTCCAGAAAGGGGCACATTCTGCCATGTTTTTGTTCCAGCCCTGAGTGCTTTTCAGTAAACATCCACTGTAGTTTAGGACCTAGGTATTTGACAGAAGGTCTCTCCACAAAACCACCCATTCCACATGCCCTTTGCAGTCCTTGATATTAAGAATTGTAACCCCAAAGGATGCCAAAGATGCTGGCACTAGGAAACCAAGCTTTCTCAGCCATGGTCCCTTCCCTCTAGAATAAGCTTCCTACAAAGTATTCACGAAGGCTTTCACGGCTGGGATCTAATGGTTGTTGTGGGTTTTTCGGGCTCTTTGGCCATGTTCTGAAGGTTGTTCTTCCTATTGTTTCGCCAGTCTCTGTGTCCAGCATCTTCAGAAACCTTAGGAAGAACAACCTTCAGAACACGGCCAAAGAGCCCGAAAAACCCACAACAACTTCCTACAAAGGTTTGCCAGGCCCACCTATCTCTGTTTTCAGGAAGCTAATTAAGACAGAATTCTATAAAGCTGCCTAACATCGTCCTGAGATGCTTAGATAAGTTGTATGAATTAATATACGGATTTCTTCTTGTTCACTGATTTAGCTAGCAACAGGGTTTGCTGTATTTTATTGTATTTTTATTGTATTTCTAGTGTGGTGTTTTTATTGTATATTGTGAACTGCCCAGGGAGTGATAACACTAATGGGGTGATATAGAAGTGGAAATCAATCAATAAGACAAAAGTGGTTTTGAACCATTCCTGCCAGATGAAAAGAAAATATCATTCCCTGCTCAAAAGAGATGATTCCCCTAATTCAGTGGTCCCCAACCATGGGCCTCCAGATGTTCTTAGACTACAACTCCCAGAAGCCTTCACCATCAACAGTTCTGGCCAGGATTTCTGGGAATTGAAGTCCAAGAACATCTGGAGGCCCAAGGTTGGGGACCACTGCCCTAATGGACTTCCCCACACCACATTTTATATGCTGTAGTCACCGGGTTTTCATCTGGATTTATCTGTGCCCAGTCTGGTACAGATTGTGTGGTGAATGGCCAATGTAGTTGCCCACTCAGAGAAAGTGTGCAGGTGCTTCACGTTTGACCAAGTGGTCAAAGTGATATCTAGGGTACAAAACTGGCACTAGAAACTGACAGAGCAAACTTTCTCGTTATAAATGTCCATCTGATGACCCAGTGAAACAAACACTCCTTGAACTTTCTGAGAAACCAGAAATGCGGGGTAGCTGGGATTACTTTTAGTTGGATCAGGACATAAATGCCTTAATTACTCAGTGTAAAGAAACGGGACATTTGGGACTTGCCCTCCCTAAGAGCCTTCTTGCTGCGCAACCGCCTCTGTACCACATGCATTGCCGCTAAAATCCTTCCTACCAGCACAGTTACTTGATTCTACCAAGAATTTTAATTTTTGGTAGTATATAATATTGAAGGATCACAATATATTGCACAGAAGATGCCAAATTTGAACTTTGATCACCTCTACATTCAGGTGCAGGTCTATTCCATTTTCCATTTCTGCCATCTTCTGTAACTACACACTCAATAGCTGGATCTCCAATAAGGGAGAAATCTTTGTTGCAGGTGTATGTTACCACTGAGCCAACAGTATAGTGATCACCATACGTATCCCCGTTATGAGTTCCGTTGGAAATTGTGGGAGGCCGTTCACAAGGGATTCCTGGGGGAGAGAACAGTATTGACAGATCAGGTGCACTGTAGAAAGCAGAACAATTTATCAGGCTGTTGTTTGATTGAAAAGTTGGTGAGCTTTTGGAAAACCTATGATTTGTAATACTTTCCACTGACAAACAGGAGCAGCTTGGCCTCATCTCTAATCCTAACAAGAGTATTCATATCATTTTCCTCTTCATTAGTCTTGTCTTTCATGCCATTACCTCAACTAACCACCCAGAGTGGTCGAAATGACTAGATAAGCGGGTGTGAAGGAGCTGAAGGCAGTGTGCCGTCCTCTGGTGGGAAAGAAGACGTAGAGGAAGGAGGATGTGTGGAAGGGGTGTTAATAGAGTTAGATCAAACGGAGATACTGACTGAAAAAGCTGCGGAGGTGTGTCTTGTAGAAGAAGGAGGGGAGGAGTTAGATTTAATTATATGGGAGGAGATAAAAGAGGAAAAAAGCGTGCGCGATTTTAGAACCTGGACGGATCTAAACCCGGACAGACCTAGGCACCGAGGGGTGCAAACGGAACCCATTCTCGGAATAAGCCAAGGGACTGATGTGACCCCGGGATTCCCCAACTTGATGACAGGAGGTGGACTGCTCCCAGACCCAGTAGCCACGGGGGCCAAGGGCAGAGGCATTGAACCTCTCGAATGGAAGGTATCGGTTTTCCCCCTGAATTACCCTGGAGGGGGGCGGCGGGTAATTCGTCCTGGCCCGGAGTTCCAGAAGAAGCCTTTGGAGGGCGATTGGGCCCGCCATCCGTGCTGCGGCACGGTATGCGCGGTGAGGAGCGCGCCCATAAGGCAGATGACGGACGATGGCTCCTATTTTCTATAGGAGGATAGAAAGGTGGCTGAAAGAACAGAGTAATGGACTAGTTCAGAAACCACATTGTTTGCAGCAGGTAGGAGGAAGGAAAGATGAATAAGAGAGATACGTAGTGTTTTTTTTTTCCATTTGAGTTTTCAGGCCCAAGTTTTTAGTTACTGTGATTTATTCCAATCCCAGACAAATAAATGGGCAGATGAAAAAACTTCAAATAGAGAAATGACTCTTTAACACATTTGGGAAAACATTAACAAGTTTAAGGGAAAATATGATCTTACGTTCACAGTATTGACCTTCTTTATCCCAGTTAACTGTGTTGTCATCATACAAAACACAAAGAGCAGTATCTGGGCCTATTAATCTGTACCTAAAGAAAGAGAAAGTACAAGATTTAGGGCATGAGACATAATAAAGTGGTTGCTAATACAGGATATCTGGTCACTAGTAGGCTTACATTACTGACATCATGTACATCTCACTCTACACTGTGACTACTTTGGTAAAAAAGAGAGGGACTTTGCCTTGCATCCAAGAGGCACAGGACTGGGTACCAGGAGAGGGACATAACTGATAAGGCCATTTGTCACTAACTTAGGTTGATACAAACTACCAACTTCTTTAGTTCTGGATACATACAGTGCTGCCTCAACTTACGACCATAATCCATTCCAGAAGATGGACATAACTTGAAATGGCTGTAAGTTGGAGCATGCATTCCCATAGGAATGCATGGGAATGCGATTAATCTGTTCCGGCCAAAAAACAAACAAAAAACAAAAAACCCAAAACAGCCCCACACTGGAACTACAAAATAAATAAATAAATCATCAACAAACAAACAAACAACAACACACCACAAAAACAGCCCTCCAATCCAAAACCACCCTGCAAAACTCACCCAGAGGGATGCCCCCCCACCGCTGCATCCCTTTCTCTAACCCTTGGGGCGAAAGAGATACAAAGAAGCAGCCTCTTTGCCACCAACGGTTGGTACATTTGAATTCCCCCCCCCCTTTTCCCTGCCTATATTTGGTCGTAAGTGGAAGCTCCAACCACAAGTCAAAACAAATTTTTGCAATCAGAGCTGGTCGTAACTCGAAATGGTTGTAAGTAGGAACGGTCGTAAGTCAAGGCACCACTGTAGTTGACATAAATGAATGAAAATGCAACACTAAACACCCTATCAATAAGACTGTAGCCTGTGTCACACAGGGAAAATCCTTCATGTGCAAGAGACTAATCTTCCAAATGTTATTGCAGTGAAAATTTGCAGTTCAAGACAAAATGCTTTGCATCACTTTTTTTGGTAGTTTAAAAAGAACATACAGTGAAAGCTGAAGGTAGTTATGTGAACCCATGGGGTGCTTTAGGACAGAGGTATGAACCTTTTTCTTCCTGACAAAAGAGATATTTTCTTGGGTGGCAGCTGCTTGCCATGAGTGGGAGGGGTCAGGTATGTCCTGGTCAGATTCTGAGCCACTTTGCTTGCTCTTTTTATTTTCACCAGGCACCCCATATATATCCATGCATCCATTTTATTACCTTTTCAGCTCTTCACCACCACCCCATGTTTCATTTAGGTTTCAACTTTTTTAAAATTAAATAACAAAGGCCAGTTGCAGCATGGGAGAAAAGTGAGATAGGCCATGGGCCCAATCCAAAGGTATTAAATGCTAGAGGTTCCATTCTCCAAATTTACACAGTCCATGAACTAATAGTGTCTTTACACACAGTAATACAGTGGTGCCTCGCCTCGCGGGCACCCCGTTTAACAACAAATCCGCATAGTGATGAAGATTTTGCGATTGCTTTTGCAATCGCATTGCGATGTTCCCTATGGGGAAAAATCGCTTTGCGATGATCGTGGGAAGCGATCATCGCAAACGCCCCATTTTCGCACAGCTGATCGGCGGGGCTTCGGGATGATCGCAGGGAAGGGCTTCCCCCCATCATCCCGAAGCCCCACTGATCAGCTGGGGGGAAAACGCGGGCTTCAGGATGATGGGGGGAAGGGCTTACCCCCATCATCCCGAAGCTGATGGGCGAAAATGCAGGCTTCGGGATGATGGGAGGGGAGCCGCATTTTCCCGCAGCTGATCGGCGGGGCCTTTGGGAGGACGGCGGGGGAGCTCACCCCCACGGTCCTCCCGAAGGCCCCATTTCCCCCAGCTGATTAGCAGGGATTTTGGGAGGACCGCAGGGGAGCTCTCCCCTGCGGTCCTCCCGAAGGCCCCATTTTCGCACAGCTGATCGGCGGTTCCAAAATGGCCACCCGC